ACTTCTCCTCAATCCCTGGAGATTCCTTCACCTGCATAGCAGTTTGTTCTCTGGAGAGACTAGAGAGCCAAGTAAGCTTCCACAATTGAAGCAGACTGTTCACCATTGCCAAAGCATGCCAACTCTCATTCTTTATTCTATGTCGAGGTTACTTCAAACTCGTCATTCAGCCATTGAAATGTCCCCTGCATGTAGTGCTCCCATTCTGCTAATCATATCGCTGCCTAGACTTCAAAGCATTGTCAAATTCTTTTGGTTTGCTGAAAGAATCTTCCCTCCTCTGAAAGACTCGTGTAGTGTTGATTGCCTATTCCATTCATTTAACAATTCTGTGCTAGCTAATCCAATTCATTCTTGGATGTAAATATGCCACATTGCCCTACCTTGCTCCAGATTGTCATTTCATGAAAGTAAAAATTGGGTTTTACCCCACTTTGTCTTTCCAGGAAGCCCTTAGCATTTGACATGCATAATGCTTATTCAGTTGACCCTGAATACATGTGTCTGGCTTGAATGAATGTGCACTATCCAAACGACTTCACTTGGAACCAGGAACCAGTTCCAGCAAGGCTCGGAACTGCATCCAGAGTTAGAAGTGTCAGACACCTCGGGGTCTCTACCATCTCTATCACCATACTCATTCCCAGTGATGTCAGAAATTGGTTAAGTAAGCAGATCTATAGATGAGGAGAGAAGCTTTGGCTAAAGAACCACATCTGAGTCTTAAGCACAAAAGCAGCTGAAGTCTTGAGAGTAGAAAATATCTAGAGTGAACAGAGAAAGAGAACTGAAGGAACACAAGTATTTAATGAGAGTGAATATTTAAGCCTTTGAGAAGTTTAAAACAAAAGGCAAGGAGTTAGGAGATAAAGCAAGAGGAAGTGTTGACATGAAAAACAAGAGAACAGAAGTTTCCAAGAAAGAGGGAATTCCAGTAGTCCTAAATTCTGCATAAAAGTAAATTTAAGACTGTAAATTGTTTATTAGCTTTAGTAACATGTAGGTCAATTGGTGACCTGGCAAGAAAATAGAGGCAATGAACAAAAATAAACTACTTGATTTCCAGACTTACTATAACTACTACAGTGATCAAGACAGGGTGGTACTGGAGTGATGATAGACAGACAGATCGGTGAAAAGAACAGTGCAGCAACAGACCCACACTTACAAAGTCCATCAATTTTCAACAAAGGAGCCAAGGAAATTCAATGAGGAAAAAGATTCGTCTTTTCAACAAATCGTGATGGCATAACTGGATTTCTGTATGGGAAAAAAATGTTCCTTAATCCTGATCTTACACTGTACACAAAAATTAACTTGAAACGAATTGCCAATCCAAATGTAAGAGGTAAAGACCGTTCAACTTGTAGAAGAAAACATAGAAAAAATAGTTGGGACACAAAGATATCTTAAATAAGCCACTGGAAACAAAAATTAATTATAAAGTAGATATTACAATTTTAAATATTCTGTTCTTTGAAAGAAATACTTAAAATGAAAAAATAAGCCAGACTCAGGGATGTAATATTTGCAAAATATACCTAACAAAAAGCTTGTATCCATGAAAAAAAAAAAGGAACACTTATAATTTGATAACAAGAAGACAAACTGCCCAATTTAAAAATTGGCAAAAAAAAAAATAGAATTTCACAAAAGATATATGAATGGCCAATATGTACATAATACTTAATCCACCAGTTATCAGAAAAATGCAAAGAAAATCACACTGGGATGCCCTATACATCGATTAGAATGATTAAAATGAAAAAGATTGATAACATTAGGTTTTGGTGATGATGTAGCATAATTGAAACCCCCATATATTGCTGGTGGGAACACAAAACAGTTCTATCCCTTTGGAAAAGAGTGTAGTAGTGTCTTAAAAAATTAAACATATGCTGATCATATCAACCAACAATCTCACTTAGATATTTATCCAAAAGAAATGAAAATGTGTGTCTACTTAAAGACCTATATTTGAATATTCATGGCTACACTATCCATAATAACCAAAATGTGAAAATAACCTTATTTTCCATCAACTGGTGAATAAATAAAAAATTATTAATAATAAAAATACTGTCATATCACTCTACAATGAAAAGGAACAAGATACTAATACACACAACATAGATAATTCTTAAAAACATGCTAAGTAGAAAGTCAAATACAAAGATTATAAACTGCATGATCCCATTTACAGAAATTCTAGAAAAGGCAAACATAGTGAGGAAAGCATATCAGTTGTTGTCTGGGATCAAGGTTTAGGAGAGAGAATTAACTGCAAAGGAGCATATGGAAACTTCAGGGCGATGGAACTTTTCCTTACCTCAATTGTGGTGGAAGTTATACAACTATATACGATTACCAAAATTCATCAGACTTTACACTTAAAATGAGTCTATTTAATTGCATGTAAATTATACCTCAATAAAGAAAAAAGCCAGTGAAAAAGGAATCAAGTCTTTAGATATTTTTCTGAGAACATAAATCAAGACTGAGTGTGGGATCAGGTGAGCAGTTCAAAACAAAATTAATTACTTCAAAGCAAAACTTCATCCCTTTCAATATATAATACTGGGTTTTTGTGCACCTCTAACCTCAGAATTTAGAAAGAGCTGTACACATATCTATGCAGTAATGTACAACTAATGTCAAAACAATAATTCCTCGAAAAAATAAAATTTACATTACACAGACATTTAGAATTGAGATTTCTAAAAATATGTGGCACTAGTTCAAAACTGGACAAACTTTTCAAAAATGTGGTGATTTTAACAAGGAAATAACACTCTGGGTAGCCATACTGTCACCTTTTCCTATGTCAGGTCTTCAAGGTAAACCTACTAATTTCACAGGTAAATTCATGTCATTTATAATTATTCTAAGCTATTTAAGGGCATTTGGGAAATTTTTAAAAGAAGCAGCTCACAGAAAAGTCCAAGTAAGAGTGTTAAGAGGCATTCAAATGATTTAGTTCACACATCTGACTTTCAACTTTCAGATTACTTGGCTTTAGAGAATCAAAAATGCTCCAATTGTACATTTATCAACAGTTACAAATCAAGCATGACATTCACATCTACTATGTATCTCTAGACTTCTGCTCAAAGATACACATGTAGAGACACTGATGCCATTAAATAGTGAGACATCATATTATTGGTATGGAACGTTTCTAAGATACATTAACATGTTGGTACAGAATACTTCTGGAAGGATCAAGAAATTAGAAGCCATGTTTGCCTCTAGTTAAAAGAACTGGAGTCTGGTCATTAAGGACAGAAAGGAGATTGACTTTTTCACTCTATTTTTTTTTGTTCCGTTTCACCTTTTTAATTAACCACATTAAAGTATTACCTTAAAAAGTATATACAGTTGACCCTTGAACAACACAGGTTTGAACTGCATGGGTCCACTTTTATGCAGATTTTTTTAATAAATAAGTACTACAGTAGCACATGGTCTGCAGTTGGTTGAATCTGAGGATGTGGACCTGTAATTACAGAGGGATCGACTATAAAGTTTTATGAGGATTTTCAACTGTGCTGGGAGGAAGGAGGGGTCTGTACTCCTAAACACCCTTGAACTGTTCAAAGGTCACCTGTAATACTTATGCAAATAATCACTGATTTAAAAAATACATCAGTTCAATTAGGAAAGGTGGGTTTCTCGAGAGCAGCGACTGACTGCCTAAATTTAGTACTCTCCTCGTCCAGGAGATTTTATGTATATTAAGTGCTTCGTAAAAACAGCACTTTTCTATAACAACATTAAACTCGACTCAGAGCATCTTCTATATTTTAGTGGAATTTTCAATAAACCAAAATCATAACTTCAGAGAAAGCACAAAAATTCAACAGTACTCCAAATTTGAACCTAATTTTTACAATGTGGCATAATGTAATAAATACTAAACAAAACTTCCATCCCTGGTCTCGGGAAAATAAATCTCTTCACTTCTCTGGACTTATTTTCAAGTCTAGGAAGTAATGATGGCTGTGCATATATGAGTGAGGTTAGACTATATACATTTTGGATATTAAAGTCTGAATGAGTAAAATTCTCTTTGCTTTTAAAACAGCTTTACTGTGATATAATTCACACACTATAGAATCTATCTATTTAAATTGCACAATTCAATGGTTTTAGTATATTCAAACTTTTGCAATAATCGTCACAATCAATTATAGAACATCTTCATCATCCACCCACTCCTCCCAAAACCCATCTTACTAGCAGTCTTTTCCCTTCTCCGTCCTCAACACTCCCTTCCTGCCAGGCCTTGGCAACCATGAATCTTACCTTCTGTTTCTTCTATATATTCTAGATTTGCCTATTTGGAACATTTTGTATGAATTTAATCATATATGGTCTTTTGTTACTGGCCTTTTTCATGTAGCATGTTTTCAAAATTCATCATACTACAGTATTTATCAGTTACTTTTTTTTTTATTGCCAGTATTTCGTTGTATGGAAGCACCACATTTGGTTTATCCACTCATCACTTGATGGGCATTTGGGTTGTTTCCACTTTCAGGCTGTTGTGAATAACGCCATTACAGACATTTGTATACAAGCTTTTGTGTGGAAGTTGTCTTCATTTCTCTTGGGTATACACCCCAAAAAGATTTGCCGTGTTTCATGGTAACTATATTTAGCCATCCGAGGAACCACCAGCCTTTTTGGAAAAATTTTACACTCCTACCAGCAGGATATGAAGGTTCCATTTTCTCCATATCCTCAGACTTGTTTTCATCTTTTTAAATTCTAGCCATCCTATTAGGTGTGAAGTGGTATCTCTTTGTGGTTGATTGGCAACTTTCTGATGACTAATGAAGTTGAGAATTTTTTCATCTGCTTATTGGCTACTTGGATATCTTATTTGAAGAAATGTCTATTCAGATATTTTACCTACTTTTAAGTTCTCTTTTAAAAAAACCCTTAGTTAACTAATTTAAAAAATTTTGTTGGAGGGGGAGGTAATTAGGTTTATTTGTTTATTTTTTAATGGAGGTACTGGGGACTGAACCCAGAACCTTGTGCATGCTAGGCATGTACTCTGCTGAGCTACACTCTCCTTAAGTTCTTTTTATTGAGTTGTGTTCTTTATACAAGTCCCTCTAGATACAAGCCTCTTTATTACTTTTATGATTCCCAAATATTTTCTCCCATTGTAATGTGTCTTCTTTTTCTTAACGATGTCCTCTAAAACACGAAAGGTTTTAGTTCTGATGAAGTCCGATTTATTTTTTCTTGTCTGAGCTTTGATGTCATACCTAAGAAACCCTTGTCTAATTCAAAGTTACAAAGATTAATGTCTATGTTTTCTTCTAAGAATTTTATAGTTTTAGCTCTTACCTTTAAGTCTCTAATCCATTTTTTGTGTTAATTTTTATATATTGTATGAGGTCGAGACCAAACTTTATTTTGCATGTGGATAGCCAGTTGTTAACAGTGGCGTTTGCTCGGACTACTGTTTCCCCATTAAATTGTCTTGGCAGTCTGGTTGAAAATCAACTGAGCATAAATGGGAGGACGTATTTCTGGATCTTCAGCACTATCCCACTGACCTCCATGTCTACCTTTATGCCACTCAATACTTTCTCATTACTATAGCTTTGTGGTCATCAAGTTTTGAAATCAGAATCAGGAAAGGCAAGTCCTCTCCTACCTTTTGTTTTTGTTTTTTTTTTAAGATTTTTTTCGCCTATTCTGTGTCCCTTAAATTTCCATATATATTTTAGAATTAGCTTATCAATTTCTAGAAAGAAATCAGCTGGGATTGATGGGGATTGCACTGAATCTGTTGGAGGATATTGCCATCTTAATATCAAGTTTTCTGATCCATGAACATGAACATGGGATTTTTTTTATTTATTTAGGTTTTCTTTAATTACTTTCAATGATTTTTGTACTTTTCAGAGTATAAATTTTGTATTTCTATTAAATTTATTCCGAAGTATTTTATTCTTTTTGATATTGCTGCAAAAAGAATTTTCTTAACTTCATTTAGTATTATTCATCGTGGGGGCACAGATATACAATTGATGCTTATGTACTGACCTTGTATCCTGCAACATTGTTGAACTCATTTATCAATTCAAATAGTTTTTAATGGATTCTTTAGAATTTTGTAAATACATGATTTTGTCATCTGCAAGTAGCAACCGTTTTATTTTTTCCTTTCCAATCTGGCTCCTTCTAGACTTTTTTGAGTGCTAAATAGATTAATGTACAACTTAATATTTGGAAGTACTGAAGTCAATATTGTATAGATTCATCTTAAAACAAAAAGGAAAGAAAAAAGTGCTATAAAAGAAAAAGAACACAGGAAAAACCAATGAATTGAGAGGCAAGAAATCTGGATTCCCCACCACTATTTAATTAGCTGTGTGATCCTGAGCAAGTTTCTAACCCTCTCTGGTTATACAATCTATTTTCCAAATCTTCTTCCACTTGGCAGACCTGTGAACTTGGGATATTTAAGAAGTAGCTTTCCTCAGTTTATTCTGCTACAATAACCATAATTTTTACTACATATAGTGATCATCTTCCACTTTTTCCTTTTTTTTTTTTTTTTTTGTCCCTCACAAAAGAGAATAAGATTACTGAAGCTGGGAAGGCAACTGGAAGTATCTTCACATTGAGAGAAAATGTCACTCTCAGGAAGGTATAATAGAAGACAATCTGAGAATGTAGGCAATTATGAAGAGCTATCCTCTTGGGAACAAGCTGGAATGTCAAAAAATGCTTTAGAGGCCTGTGGAAGCAATGAGCGAAAAAGAGGAAATGGAGGGAGCATTTATTCTGTCTAGTACTGCACTAACTTTTTAAGAATATAACAAAGGAATAATAAAGATTATTTTTTAAAATGGCAAAAGTATGTTATAAAAATATACATCACCTGAAGTTTTCACTACAGAGGACTGTTTTTTAAAATCAAAGTTTTAGGTAACAATTTTTCTTATCACAGTTTTGATTGCAAGGGACTCACAACATATAAAACCACATTAAATTTTTCTGCTATAAACTAGATACCTTCCCTCTGCTTCTGCTAATGCCACTAGAATGCTGATTTATATCTGAATATTCGAAATTTCATTTCAAGTGTTTTGAAACCTTAGTTTTAATCTCTGACTTAAAGGAAGAGGACTATCCAAGTAAGTGCCAGAGTCGTCTTTTTCTTTGTGACACTGCAGAAAACTCAGAGAAACTTTTGGTGCATCTGGGAAGGAGTTTTCCTCATTTCCAGCTGTTTTAGAAACCTGGACACACTGTTCAGTTTCTCTACTACGTGCCTTAGGGTTATTCAATTTGTTGCCATCATTTTTCTTGAATCGAGCTGGGCTATACTGCTGAGAACTCTGTTTCATTTTTCGAGTTGTGGACTTAGGTTTCCCAAACTCTGGGACACTTTCTTCCTCAGAGGAAGGTCTATCAAGGCAAACACTCTTCTTCATTACAATTTTCTCAGTGATTTGTGCATCCACTTTTCTGCTACGATGGAAAGCAGTATTTGATGGTTCAGTTCTAACATTGGAGGTCCCTGCTACTGGGTTATTGAGAGAATAAGGTACAGAAGTATTTGCTTTATAGTTTTCTTGAAACAGCTGGTCTCCTTTTAGAACTTTACAGTTTCTAGATTCATTTGGCAAATGAATTCCTAGAAGGTCCTTTGAAAGATGTGATAGGCCATCGGAACTACTGTTAGCAACACAGCGCTCTTTTACAGTAAGGAGTGACAAAGTTTTTAGGCCAACATCTGGTCGCACATTATTCTGAGGGTATGATGATTTTATACGTATTCGTTCCTTTAAAGGCAAATCCTGAAGATGCAAACCAGTAATGCCAGAAAGCAGGGGCTCTTCTGGAGCAGTCTTTTGAAGATTCCAATTCAACAATTTATCAGTGCTTGTGGTGTACCATTCTGATTCACGTGACAACTGCTCTGGGATATTTTTAAAGCTATCAGGGATAGCCATCTCAAGCTCTGATTTTGGACCATGAGAGAAAGTATTCTTTGGGATCGCTGGAGAATCACTAAAAGAAGTACCTTCCCAGTCAATGGTGCTCAAGTGCAGATCAGCAATTGTGGATATACTACGGGATGAGGTACTGGGTTGACTAGATTCTGCAGTTACAGCTTTAATTTGCTGTGTAGCTGAAGGTCTCAGAGAAGATACGAACTGTTCCTGTCTATCCAGACAGGGAGCCTCTTCAGGTAAAAGCAAGGTATCCAATGACGCAGAAATAGATTCCTGGGGTAACGTAGAATCGGGGGAAATTCCCAAATTTAACTTGGAACTCCGTTTAGAGAAGATTTCACATGTGGGCTTGAAAGTTGTGTGTGACTGAAAACCCATCATAATATCTGATTCTGGCAAACTGCTTCCTTTGGACTTAATTTTCATGCCTGAAAAGAAAAAAAAAAGTATAACATAATTAAAATCTATTTTATTTTCCTTAATGTGGGTAAATAAACTAGAGCTGAGGTCAGAAATCTATATAAGCAATTTTTGCCTTCTTCGTCTTAGCCCATTCCTGAAAACTGCTGTATATAATTATTATAAAAGTATTAATAATATTATAATTGAGTGTTATACTATAAAATAATGTTCTAATTTCCTGAGTTCTCAAAAATAAAGAAAATGTATTTATAATCCAAAATATGTTACACATACTAGTTGCTCAATAAAAGGTTAGTATAATTACTATTATTAACAGTTGGTTAAGTTAGCAGACACCAAGTAGAATGGTTTATTCTTAGATTATTTTAGATTTTAATGCCAAGTTTGTCAAGACAGAGAAACAGGACAGCATAGATTCAAACAGGACAGGTAGCTCTTCTGTAAAATTTGTGAGTGGCATAAACAGTTGTCAAATGTGACACTTACCTTTTTGTTTCTTCCCTTTAATTTCTGACTTTTGTTTTTGATAAATAGCAACAATCTCAGGATAAGCTGCTTCAAACAATGATTCTTCTTCTATCGTTTGCAGAACCAGTTCTCCATGTTCATCTTCCATAGCATAATGTTCTAAGGGAGTAAAAATACAATAAAAATAACTTAATTACAGGTTTGAAATATTCCATTTTTCCAGGTAACTCAGTTTACCAAGTAAACTAGGTCATTTGCAAATGAATAATTCATTGTAACTCTTGCTTTACAACATCTCTATTCTAATAATCTGTTGATGCTAGTACAGAAGTGATTTTCTTCCACCCGGGAAGAGCTGGAAGGAGGTTCCTTTTAAATTAGAACTTGAAACTTCTCTTGCTTCAGAGATTGTAGGAGCAGTTTAGAGAACATAGAGCTTTGTTTAGGTAAGATTCGTTGGTTTTAATTTAGTATGTTAAGTGTAAAATTCCAGATAAAGAATGGAAATAAACAATTTCCTAAAACTTCAACATTGCCTTTCTGTAGCGGTAACTTCTGAAAAGAACAGAATTGAAATGGTCATCAAGATCTTCATTCCAGGTGAAATAAGCCAGAAAGAGAAAGAAAAATACCCTATGATACCACTCATATGTGGATTCCAGAAAAAAAGAGGACACTAATGAACTCATCTACAAAACAGTAACAGACTTGCAGACTTAGTAAACAACCTTATGGTTACCAGGAGAAAGGAGCTGGAAAGGGATAAATTTGGGAGTTTGAGATTTGCAAATGTTAGCCACTATGTAATAAAAATAGATTAAAAAAACAAGTTTCTTCTGCCTAGCACAGGGAACTATATTCAGTATCTTGTAATAACTTTTAATGAAAAAGAATATGAAAACGAATATATGTATGTATATGCATGACTGCGACATTGTGCTGTACACCAGAAATTGACACACTGTGTAACTGACTGTACTTCAACTTAAAAAGATACAGATATATATTACTGTCTTCCAGATTATTGTTTCAAAGGTTATCAATCTCTTGAGGATATACCCAGGCTTACTGGACTCACAAGCACCTCATAAATGAAAATGAGAATGCTTATATGTAAATCTACAGTAAGATATGTAAACAGCAGACTAGATTCTTGTGTTTATCCTATATGAGGGTGAAGTTGCATAAGAAGCCAAACTATAACAAAACTATTCGTTGATGAGTTTAAAGTAGAAACAATGGCAATAGGTGAACTTACGGTTTTTCTTGGTTAAACTAGCCTGGGGCACATTTTCTCCTTTAAGGAGTAACTCTCACAAGGATAAGAGAAAGGAGGAACCTAATCCTCAGTTCTAGACAGAGGAGATGCGCTGCCAGCCTGGGTTAATGGCACTGTCTTTCCTGAAAATCTACTATGGTTGGTGGAACTGTTCCTAAACAGTTTTCAAAATTCTTCAGCTTGCTATTTTCCTATTATTGCTTAGAATGGCTGAGCTAATTCTTATCATTTAATTCTTCAAAGTTACCTACAACTTAAACTTTCACTGACAAAGCTGTTCTCTCATTCATTCACATATAATTACACAATCTAATTTCAAAGCCAAGTAGAAATGAATTTGGGATTATTTTTCATTTTAAATGATTTGTGCTTTCCTTGCCCTCAGACCTGGAGCTAATTTACAGTTCACTGTATTTCTATCTGTAGAAAATAAGAGTAATTTCACTACTAAATATTCCCATGAAAACTAGACAGAGTAAAGAAAGACGAGGAAAAGTACCTTAAATACTATTCAGCAAACTTGATTTCTTTAGGCCCAGCTGTACAATGAAATCAATGACCAGACCATTTGTAGCAGCATTTTCTTGAGAAATATAAATTAAAACCATTGCCATATTGTTTTTATAAACATTAATTACAAAAGAAATATCAATTTAAGGCACTAAAAAATGGTTAAAGTTTTTCATATTTACTATCAGCTCAGGCTATTTACATAGTAAGGCAAACTATGAAATTAATCCTTGGTGTATGCCATACATTTCTTTTTCATTTTTTTATATACATACATAATTTTCACATATATATATGATATTTGCTAAACATACATGGTCAAATGTTATAAATTTTCCTAAAGTGCATACATACCAGGCTTTTCCCATTCTATTTCAAAGCAATGAACTCCATTTCTAATTCGAGTTTTAATGATTCTGAAAAAAAAAAAAACTTAATGAAGTCCCATTGCTATAGTTATTCAGAAATTTTCAATATGTAAATTGAAGAACTCAGTTTCCATTAATTTTTATTCTGTTTTTACAATATTCTAAAATATTATAAGGAATTATTGTATAGTTATTCCTTTGACTAGTTTATTTAAAAGATAAAGTTTATAACTGTTAGATCTTATCAGTAGATTTTTCCTTTCATTATTATTCAGTATTCCTCTTTTCCATAATAATGATTTTTACTTTAAAGTCTATTTTGCTTCTGTTAATTTTGCTACATCACTTTGGTAAATATTTGCCTCGTAAATCTTTTAAATCTTTTTATTTTCAAACTTAGCATAATTTTATTCTGCACATGCCCTGTAAGCAGTATATTGCTGAATTTTGTTTACTAATTCAGTATAATGTTTTTTAATAGATGAGTTTAATCCACCTACATTTATTGTGATTACTGCTATCGCTGGACTCAGTCCTTTATCTTATTTTGTTTTCGGGTACCAAGCTTTTTCTCTGCTATTTCCCCCTGTAACCTTCCTGCCTTCAGTTTGATAGTTTCACTTTCCTATTTTATGTATTGGTTTTAAACCTAGAGACTGTATTTCTAATTGTTTTAATGGTTACCCTTAAATGTTTACATGCATACTTCGGGAGTTTTAGTTTATTATCATCATCATATACTGACTATCAAGCGTTATGAAGATATTTATATACTTATTTTTTCCAGTTTATTAAATTAGCTAAATATGTTTTATCAATTTCCATGCCAACCACTGTTTGTTGGAATCCACATCTTCCCTGAGTTCATTTTTTTTCTTGCTGAAATCTTCTTTTAATAGTGCTTTTAATGAGGGTTTGTGAGTGGCAGACTCTTGGTCTTCATACGTCTGAAAATGCCTTACTAACCAGCAAATAATTTTAATAATGTCTATCTATGCTGCCCATTTTTTTTACTCAAAGCTTTGAAATATTACTCCATCATCTTCTCAAATCTACCACGGTCATAAAAAATGTACGTTATCAGATTGTCATTCCTTTGTAGCTTAATTTTTCTCTTTAATGTTTCTTCCCACCAAATTTTTATTCTGAAAGTTTTCAAACCTTAAGAAAAGTTGCAAGAATACTACAATGAATAATCACATACCCTTCACTGAGAGTCACCAATTTGCAGTTTCAATTCCTCCATTCATTTTACATTTTTGTTCCCTTTCTGGTCCATTGAAATAATTATCTAGTTAAGCCTGGCTATAGCTTTTTATATTTATTTCTTTTAATACTCTATAATTATTATGTGTTTAAAGCAAAAAGGTGTGTCAAAGCATGAACTTACTATGTTATCCTGAATGTAAGCCCTGAATAGGTTTTTAATATTCCAGTAGACCTTTCCTTCATCTTTATAAAACAAGGAGATATATATCCCACTATTAAAGATACTAATAAGAATATTTTAGATCGTAAGATATTCCAATGAAAATACAGGGACTCATTCATACAATTCTTTATGTTACCGGATTGGCCGTAGTTGGTTAGAGTTCCTTCTCCCAAGCTTCCTTTCTATCATGTCATAGTGGGTTAACAGCACCAACAATTTCTCACATGCATAGTGATTGGGCCATTCCATTTTTTCAAGCGTAAATCTCTGTAAATATAAAAATATGACAAGATTTTGTGACCTCTTGGAGGCAAACAGCAGTCTCCAGTGATATTATCTTTTCCTTCAGAGTTAACGTTAGTTAAAGTCCTATCAACAAACATATTCCCAGAAAGAACAGTGAGCTTCTGAAGGAGGCAATATTGCATAATGATTAAGTGTGGGGGTCTGGGTTGGAGTGGCAGTGGATCTCCCAGATGTTGGGTAAATTACTTCATCTCTTTCAACTTACGTTTTCTCTCTGTAAAATAAATCCAGCACACAAATTCTGAAGTTAAGTGAGATTACATGTAATGTGTTATATATAATAGCAAATTTTAAATGTTCAATAAATGTTGGTTGCCATTATTATCACTGCTGTTGGTAGGGACAAGCAACAAGTTAGTGAGCCACTCTGTTTCTCTAGCTACTATACCAGGGGTTAATATAAATAATCTCATTTAAACCTCATGGTGATTTCACGAGATAGGAAAACATATAACCAGGGTCACACGGTGACGGACTGTCCAAATTTAAATTTAGGTCACTGATTTCAAATCCCAGGGCCCTTGTAAACTGTACTGTCTTCCGTAACAATATACTTGATCTTTACATTCTCTGGTTATTAGCCTCTCTCTCCCAGTAGATTCCAGAATACAATATATCAGTACATGGTATTTAAGGTGTTTAGTAAAGAACAGCATAATTGTGATTCGTCTTATGGTCTGCAAAGTATAGTTACTGTGTGGCAAAGGAGTGAAAATTAGAAAGAAAAATATATGTGCATTCAACTAGCTAGCTATTTCAACCTTTCAGACCAATCAAAGTGATTATCCCTTCTCATCTTCCTCCTATCCAACTTTACACTGTAAAGAAGGAATTTATTTTCAGATACCTGAAACAATAATAAATCAGGTCTTTGGTACCTGATTTCCTTCACCAATTTATCCTGATTCAAAAGGAATTCTTGAATAACCTAGCAAGAGAACAGAAAATAGCAATTGAGACTTTAAACTTCTTAAAAGCTTCTGAGATTAAACACATAGTTGAATTATCATTCATTACCTCTTGGAATGGGAATCCCTCACAACTGCAAGCTTTCCTGAAAATAAATTATATACATATTATTAATACAATTGGGCAATTTTAGACAGACTCTAAATTCATCTCATCTAACCTCTAATTTCATGAAAAATGTCCTTGTATAGTGCCCCAGTCATCAAACTTCTCATTGAAATATTATGAAATTACTATCTTCTAAGGTAGCCTAATTTTTGAACAGAATTAAGAAAAGGATTTTGTGGAACATTACTAACCTACACGAGGGAAAGTTAAGTGGAAACAATGACCACAGGTGTACAAATAGGTCACGTCAGAAAACAATCAGTACAAAAAACAAACAAACTTACTTCTTAATACTGCTCTCTACTGCGTTTAGTTGCCTATCATGTTCTGCAAGGTGCCACTCACAAGGACAACGGTATTCATAATCATGTGGTTCACAATACCGATTAGTTTTACATAATTTGCATCCATTATGTTCATGATCCTTAGGTGAACCTTTATGGAGACATAAAAAGTATGATTCTCACTGCTTTTAAGAATTAGCCTCTGCATACATTTTTTTTAACCCTTATGCAACCAAATTCAAAAACAAATACTGCCTAGCACAACGCCTAGCATATAGAAGGGTTGTGATACATTTAGGTTGAATAGAGTAATGAACACAATAGTAATTCTTAGGATAAAGTAGGTGTCAAGCTATTACTACCACATGACACTTTTTTTTTTGTAAATGACTCTTCTATCTGAAAGTGTTAATTTATAATATGATATTATGCATTTATAATAATCAACAATGGAAAATTTTGTGGTATTTGTGTAGTTACAGACAAGAAAAGTAGGATATTGTTAGCATAACAAAAGATTAGTTAGTAGAATAATTCATGAAATGGTTTCTTTAATAAGAATTTTAAAATAATACAGCAGTTAATTACTTCTGCTTGTGATGAGCTCTCAGTTACTTATGTAGCTATTTTCAAATTATACTTGGAATATGAATAAGTTATGATTGTGGTCTGGGTGTGGGGCCCTGGTGCCCATTAAAAGGAAAGCGTGAGTACCTTCAACACTGTTTTCAAAATACAGAAGAGTCTAAAATCATCATTTATAATGTATACAAAAACTTGAATGGCATTTTATCCATAAAAGCATTTTTTCTCCTATGATGTCACCTATAATCCTAAAATGTTAATGAAACATATTAAGACAGATAGATACAGCAGAATTTCTTTTAAAAGATGAGCTAACATGATCTCCTAACCTCTTCTGGGAGCAAAAGGCCTTTCTGACTCAGTACATGTCAGAGACCTCATTTTTTTTAATCAAGACTAATGAAGAGGATCCAAGCCATTTTCGGTAACAGCGAACATGTATGAGAAATTAGTTTAAGTTATTATTTTCACATACAACAAAAATATACTGTAGGACAATTAAGAATTCTTTAAAGATACAAATGTAAATCACTGATATAAAAACAGATGGTTTCACTTCCATTTTTCCCTAAGATTTACCAGTACAGTATTTTTCTTCTTAAAATGAATATCTATATTGAAAATGTAATTTTAAGATTAAAGCAATTTGATAACATAGTTTAAAACTGTACTTATATTTAACATTTACATCACATCATTTCACTTAATAAATGTATATCAAGTGCCCACTGTGTGTATGTGACACAACTTCTGACTCTGAGGAGTCCCAGCCTGGTGAGGAAGGTAGGGATGTAAAAGGTAGTATAAAAACAGAGATGAAATCATAGGTATCAGACACTAATATTCTAGAGATATCATGCCCTACATCTGCTTACCTGGATGGGAACACACAGAGCAATGAGCGAGTTTGTTAACAACTGGTGGTTGTGAATTAGAGTAACAAGATTTTTCATTCCACTGATTAAACCTTTAAAAGAAAATGGTTTTAAAAAGAGAAAAATAATAATAAGGTCACCAAGATACCATGTTCTCAAATGTCAGGCTATTCTGTCCCCTTCCACCTGCCTACTTATTCTCCTTTAGCAGTAACATTGCTGGCCCAGACTGAGAACATAAAAACATGAAAAAATAAAAAATAACTAGGGTGAAGGTTAGTCTAAATTAATAAAAATAAGAATGACAGATAATTACAACAAAGTGTAATTTCATTATTTTCAAGTGTGAAGACAAACATTTTATAAAATGTTGCCAAAAATATACATTTGCTGTAACTGTTTCAGTAAGAATTATTTATAGTTAGCCATTATTGTTTGCTTTTCCTTTTTTATTTTATTCTTTACAATTCCTAAATGACTCCTTAACTCACCCCCATGCCAAAGTATACCTTTTCCTTCCTGCTTTGGAAAACACTAATTGCTGATATTAATAATGAATAAAGTCTTAGATCTTTCAACAGCTATACAGCTGAAAGAGAAGCATTATAGGAAAGAACACGGCCATGTGAAATCTTTTTTGTGGTCATCGCTTCTTCAGTTCTACCACTTAATATTTCCTTTCACGCACTCACCATCTCATACCTACTGAAGGCCGAGGCTGTTTTAAGTCTCCCAGTGTCTCAGTTCCTTTCCTTCTTATTCATTCTATACTTTATCATCAGTAATATTAATTTTTATAAAACACTGCTCTCATCAAATACATATAATTGACATGCTTTTAAAACTAAACAGCATAGTTTGTAAACTTTAGTATACTTTGTACCTTAATTGTCTTGAATCCTCAAACTGTATTAATCTGTCACTAAATTTGTGGCTATACAACTAAAAACAGTCAAGTAAAATTTTTGGTCAAGTGTTACTTATCAAATATTTGCAACATCTCAGGTATTTCATTTATAGAAAAAATATAATATCAAAGTACATATCAAAAATAATTTAAAACATAAAATTAATTTAATGTTAGTTTATCTTTACTTGTCGGTAAATAGCCTAAAATAGTCTGTGCCAAATATTCATGGTTATAAATATACGCATTTGACATCTTATAACTTGTGTACGTAGTGAGCTGATGATGAAAAAACAAAGTATGGCTTAGGACATATACTCCCATGCTTCTTTTAGGAAACTTAAGAATAAATAAAAATAAGTGATTTTAAATGAATATATAGATCAGCTTAAAAACAAAAAAAAAAACCTTTTTGGAAAGCATAATACTTTTTGTAATATTCACTATCAAGTTCAACAAGAATAAAAAAATGGTATCACAAGAGAACATAATTTTTAGTTACCTCTGAAGTAAACTTTGCCCATTCAAAATCTTTATAAGTTTTAGTGCTTGTTCTTTTCCAACTCCAGGGACACCCTTTCAGAAAGTGGAAAAAGAAATTTAAATGTTAATCACTAGGGAACAGATATATGAAGTAAGATATGTCCATTCAATGTAATATTGTGCAGCTCAAAAAGAATGAGATATCACAATGCGACAGGAAAACATGTGCAAGATATATTATTATATAAAATGAAAATTGCAGAATAGCATACAGTATGATTTAGATTTGTAAGTTAAATAACAATTACATTATTAACTTATGCAAAGAAAAGTCAGAGGGTTACATACCAAGCCACTGACTGTTTTTTTAGGAGAGGGAAGAACAGAATTTTAGAGGGTTTCATTTGCTATGTTACTTATTTTGATAATATTTTAATTTGACCCAACTTTATGTTATACTTGTAATCAAGCAAAAGCATGTTCATGTGGTCATACAAACATTTACTATTTAAAGACACCAAAAGTAACGAAGGAGAATTCCAAGCTAGCTCTTGAAATTAATAACTTAAGAAAATTAAAACAAGCAGTAAGTTTCTAATACACAAAAATATATAAATAAATGTCTATTTACAAGACAATTTACAGTTTAAATTGAGTCTTCCAGTTCCTCTAAAAGGTTATTAATATATCTCTGTAAGCAAGGCTGCTCTTTAGCTGATATGCACCTGGACAGACATACTAGTGTTAAAACACTTCCAAACTGGTTAGCAAATAGACATTGCCCAAATATCCTGAGTGCCTGTTCGCAAAGGGGTCTCCCTCCTAACCTGAATTCCCTTCCCAACCCACCTACACCCAGGATTCAGCTACTAAGAGGGTAGCACATGGCACAACCAAAGGTATCCGGAAGAGTGTTCCATCTCTGCAGCCTATGTCTTGTAGCATACCAGCCGCTAGGTATTTTGTATGTCATTCTTCTTATATTAGCATTTGGTTACATATTAAAATTTTTGAAGGCAAGTCATGCTAGTACAGTCTTAAACAGTTTTAAATAGAATAATATAGATAGTTTTGGTTGCAAGGGAACACAAAGGTCAAAATGGCTAAGGTTAGTGGATAATGTAATACCACAGCAGCTAAACTGGGTTTCTGTGAATTCAAGTTGGCAAATTTTTTCTTACATTCAACATTGGGCTGTTTTTAGACTTTAATTACAATAAAATTACATAAAGGAAGTAGGAATCTTCTATTTCAGAATGAGAATTATAGTAATTTTTTTGTGTGTTATTTAACAGTTTTTTTCCTCCTGTTTTCTTTACTAGTTTAAAAAAAATTGTCAATTTCTCTCTTTGGTCACTGGTGACATAGATTACAAGTTAGACTTAATAATTTTACGACCCTGCTATTTTTCCGTCTTGTAAGCTCTGCTGAAAAAGAATTATATATCATCCTCTTTAGACTTCTCTTAGGGATAGAGTCTATAGCCTGAGGGATTTAGAAAGGATACAGAGATGACCAGCAGGGATATAATAATGGGACTATATAAAAATAGCAGGAGCTACAATACAAGTCATTTTATATTTTTAAATGTCATATTTAAGAATCGGGTTATCCTTGTAATTCTTAATTCATGCCTCACCTGCTGTACCTATTTGTTACAGAGTGCTATATTGTGTATCTTAAGATATAAAAGGTTTTCATGAACAAAACTCAGTGTAATGCTAAGAGGCATGGAAGGATGAATGGCTAAACCCAATAATCATGTTGCCTAGCAACAGTAACAATAACACTGAGCATGTGCACAATTAGAAAGCCACAATGGAGGTTGAAAACCAGAACACAGAAAAACAGTGACAGAAATTAATATTGGCATGATACAAGGAAAGAGTAATTCCGACATTTCTTTAAAAGGGTAGTCAAACTTGAATGTGAATCTCTTAGAATTACAGTTTACCGAGACTCAAGCTGTAGTACTAGTTATGATTCTATTCTCGTTTATAACATTCAGTGTCACAATGAGCCAGGTTTTTAATGCCACTTGAAATGCTGATTATTTCAGTTATTGAACAGGTTATTACATTTATATTCTAAATTAGGTTCTTAATTATATAACCATATAATATTCATATTTATGCAGCATGTAAGGTATTAAAAAAAGCCACTACGAATAGTAAATAAATAAACACAACAATTTCAGTGCACCTTTGGAAGATAATCACAGCCAAGTAGTACTGCCAGCCCAACCAGAGCATCTCTATCCAAACCTAGTTTACTCTTGATAGATGACATCGTATAGCAGTCAACATGTGGGTCCTGGAAGAAAGTATAGACTTAGTTGCATCTTCAAAAAGTAAACATTTGTATATTAAACAACATTACAGAGAATAATTTGTCAAAGTTGTCTCTAAATGTTTATTTCTAAAAGTTTAAACAGGAAAATTATCCTGATCACCAGAATCCTCACAGAATTTATCACTTCAATACAGGAAATAAAGTCATAGCTTAAAAATGACTTTAAAAATTATAGTAGTCACTTTTTCCCTCTTTATCATTTCTTGGTGTCTACAAAAGTAAGTTTTTGTCTTACAAAATTAAACATTGTAAAATGTATATTATAGAAAGTAAACATTCCCTGTAATTGCATCATCTGCAGTTAACTATTAACAGCATTATGTATATTCTTCTAAAAAACATTTCCTTTGATGTATATAAATATTTATTATTACTATATTGTTAAGTAAAAATAAGATTATATAAAAATACTACTTTGCAATGTTTTTCCCCCCTAATATCTGGGTATCTTTAATGTCAATAATACAGACCTTTTTAATACTGCTTACTATTACATCAGAAGGCAGTGTTTATCAATAGGGACACTTAGCATTTTCAGAGACATGACAGAATTTTCTGGCAAGAGGTTTAGTTTTCCTGGCTCTAATACACTCAATGTCTATAGTCTCCCTTGCCCAAGCTTAAATGATTACAAACTAAATGTCCCCTGGTAGTAATATCTCTCTTTGCATATTTGGAGGTGTTTTTGAGGCTTACTAAAAGTGGAAATTCTAAGTCAAAGCGACACATATCATATGCAATTTTATAATATATATTTGAAACCAATCTAGACTTAAACCTTGTGAAACAAGTCAAGCCCCTGGAAGAGAAATACACATTTCAAAAAGAATGAACAAGCGGTAGTGATATTTTTAATAAGAGTAAACATTTTATTTAGCAATTGCTATGTGCCAAGCACTATGGTAAGCATTTTACACATTTTAGTTCATTTAATCATGTAATAATCCTTTTTTAAAAAAGGGTAGTTTGCAAAACAAACGCTGAAAAAGAGAACCAAAAAAATACCTTGGTGTTCATAGTGAAATTCCTATAGACAGTCTGGGCCCCATAAAGAAAAGCATCTCCATCATTGGTGAGGCAGCCATCTGTGTAACCACTGGCATTGAGGTAAGCACACATGGCTTCAGCTTCCCCAGCAGCCTGGACCCAGGGAATTCCTAAGCATTCCAGCATATCAAGACACTGAAGAGAAAAAGTACATGCAACGAATCTAAGACCATTTTTATTGCTGTTTTTATCCCCCCAGTGTTTAACTTACTTCTATATTACAAATATTAATAGCAGATATTTAGGTGTTTTGCAAATTATGATATTTAAGAAACGGTAATTTGAACGCTGACTACTTTATGGCATTAAAGAATGATTGCTAAACTTTTAGCTGCAATAATAAAAATTATATTGTGGTCACGTTTTTATTTTTTAAGAGCCCCTATCTTTTAGACAAAGGTACTGAAATATTGAAAGTAAAACAATATCATGTCTGGGATTTGCTTCAAAATATTGTTAGACTAGGGGGATGGGTGCGTGAGATAGGTGAAACAAAATTGGTCAAGGGTTGATAATTGTTAAAGACTGGTGATGGGTTACTTTTATATTGATTTAAAATTCTCTAATGAAAGTTACAAATTTTAATGTCATTAAAAAGTAGTCCATATTCAATAAAACAATTAAAACATTACTTTTAAAATAATGAATATACAATTTTTATTGTTCTATTCAATGTTATTATCTAAAGCATCTGGAAATATCTTTAAATAATTGTTATTTAAATAATTAATCACATTAACATTTACATCTGTAAAACTACGACAATTCTTCTTACATGCTGGTCACACCAATATAAGCTCTTTCAAAGATTTTTTTACACAGTTTTGGCTTGAGGTCTTAAAGTTCACTTCCTATCACCTTCTCCTGTACAATGAACCTCCCATATTGAAAGCAGTATGACCCTCTGACCCTTTCCTGTTTGCCCATTTCTGTTCCCTCTAACCTTGAAAGAACTTTATAGGAATGAGATCACTAGGCAATTTAAACTAACTCCTTAATTGTACTCTCCTGAATGCACACCATGCCTTCCCTAACCCGTTGATTCTTTTCCTGGATTAAAAGAGGTAAGAATGAAGAATTAAGTAATTAAAGAATGACTAGCTCCCTACCCCCAATACCCCCTTGGCAATCCTGCAGGGAGATCACATGGGCAAGGACTCATTTGAAGAGTCAGCCAGCCTGCACACAATGGAGAGTGATGCAGAACCCAACCTCCTGCCTCAGTGACTCACTGAGACTCTTCCCCACTTTTTCCTTTAAAAACTGTCATGGCTGAGCAGAATCTTTGGAGTTGGTCTCAGGACATGCGTCCACCTTCTCCCCAGATTGCTGGCTTTTCTGATTAAAACACCTTTCCTTTCTATTGACACTTGCCTCTTGATTATTGGCTTTTGAGCACAAGCAGCCGAACCTGAGTTCGGGAACAATGTTGTGGGAAATCACACAGGGATCAGTTGTTGGAGTGCTTCTCAGAAGTCAAATGTCTGTGCAGGATGTTTATATCAATTTGCATGTACAAATACTCTGCTACGATTTTCTTTGAGTTATGAATTTAACACAGCTGAGCAGCTTATAGTTTAGCTTTTAGTGCATTCTATCATTGGGGGTACATTGGGTATGGTGAGGAAAAGAGGCTATTTACCTGTAGTTTCTAGAGACTGAGAGAATAAATATCATCTCTTTTGCTTTAATTGATTGTTTGTATGCTATATTACATAATAAAAACCTCTGCCAGATGTTGCCCAAGCTGGACAAAGTTCAGAAAGACAAAGTACTATGTTGAAAAAAGGGATACTTTTCAGGACTCTGGCTGGGTGGCTTTACAGAGACAGTTTTGTTATAGGTATTGCTTCAGTGCAACACCATAGTTGTTTCTATCTTACCCTTAGATGAAAAGCATCCTTTTTTCAGATTCTTGAGCCACGTCCTTCCAACTGTTTTCAAAAACCAGCACAGAATTTGTGACAAGGCTGGCTGTAATTTCCCCTCCCCTACCTCTCTATCATGTGGGGTGGAGGCTGTGTTAGAGGCTCACTTGTGCTTCTCCTGCTTATAACTAGAAGATAGCAGTGGATTTGGAGGACATAAGGTCTAGTAACTGCGGGGACAGAAATATAAAGATGAGTAGCAGGTGGGCAACACTGAATCAACGTTAAATGCCTAAGAACACCACAATTAGTGAAATAAATAAGAATAGAGTAATTTTCTCAAAACGACATGCACTTCTTTTGGCTTTATACTGGGTAGTTAATGCCTTAAGTATGTGAACCACACTTCTAGGAACTGATCATACAAAAAATAATTAGAATCTAGTACAGACATTTTCTTCAGTTACTGACACTCATTAAAGTGGAATAGTCACTAATCAAAATTTGCTTTTTTAAAAAGTCACATAAAAATTTAAAAAACACAAAATTTCTGGAGAAAAATGATTATTAATTTATGTAATGCCTTTTAAAAGAAATTAAATTTTTAATCAAAATTAAGAAGAAAAACAGGGATATGAATTCAAAGCAAATATGACAAAAGGTCTATATCCTTTATAAAGAACTTGAACAAAAGAAAAATTAAAATCAAGAGGTAAGTGAGAAAAGGATTATCCACAGAAGAACTAAAACTAAGCTAAATTTTAATCTCACCATTAAAAAACCAACACATATTAAATATGTATTATATTTATTTATATGTAGTGTATAAACAAAGAAATAACTTTGTTTTTTACAACTTACATAACACAAAGATAAACCTAATATCCAGTGATCTTGTGGGTGCACTGAAATTGCTTATCTCATATCTGAACTGGTAGAAAGCAACTGGCAAAGTTGTAAAATCATTCCTAAACTTTGCTCTATCAATCCCACTTCGGGAAATTTTATCTTAAAATCACATGAAAAAGCTATGTACATAAAAAACGTTCATCACAATTTCATGTATAACAGAGAAGAACTGAAAAGCAAACAACACACAACAATACACAATCATGGGGAATGATTTCACGCCTCCACACATGTTGTACAACCATTACAAATTGTGATTTTGAATAAAATATGGCAATGGAGAAATATGAGTATGCTACATTACATGAAAAGTCCAAGATAAAAATTATTTGTGCACTGTTACAGCAATTAAAAATACATTTGTAAAAAGACTAGTAATAGCTTCCTATTGTTTTACTTCTATATTTTACTATTGATTTCTTTTCTCTTAACTTTTATAAAAATATATATTTCATAACATAAAAATATATTAAAATATAACAGTAAGTACTTTTTAAAATTACAAAGCCCTAAGGGAAAGCAAATATGTATTCCATCTATGAATTGGCATTAATCCTGAATGACTGAAGTATGAATTAAGGAGAACTCTATTCTGCGAATTCAAGTGCTGAAGACGTCATAAAATATCACATGTATCAAGAACTGACTATGTACCCATTACTTAGAGATACTATTCTCTAATTTTCACCACATGCCTGTGAAGTATTACTATCCCCATTTCAGAGTAGGAAACAAGGCAAAGATATGTCAAAAATCTTGCCCATTGCCTTTTCTAGATGCCGGAGTTAGAACTTGGACTTGGGTCAGTTACGCTTCAAAACATAAACTCTCTTCTCTGTTCACACTGGTCTTCTATTTACAGTAAGGTTAATACGTACTAAAAATACTGAACAACAAACTTTATCAGAGTAAAATACACTTTCTAATTCAAATCAGAATTATTGAATTAAATCTGAATGCTCACCTCCTTTAAAACTGATTTAAAATGTGACCTCCCTGTTTTCTGAGAGCATGTTTTTCCAGAAGGCCCATACCGAATCTGATTCCTCTTGCTCATGACATCAGCTTTCAGCTTTGGGGGTTTCCCTTCCATAACGAACACCAGTTTTACATCCATCAGCGTTAAATATGAAATACGAAAAAATAAATTCCTAAAACATAAAATTAAAAATACATCAATCATCATATATTGAAAGCAAAAATCAATATAGTATAGCATAATGGCAAGAACATTAGTATCAAAAATGTCATACACAACAGTATTTTATTTATTATTGAGATTTAAGTGTGCAGTCACTGTGGAAAACAGTATGGAGATTCCTCAAAAGACTAGGAATAGACTTACCATATGACCCAGTAATCCCGCTCCTGAGCACATATCCAGAAGGAACCCTACTTCAAAAAGACACCTGCACCCCAATGTTCATAGTAGCACTATTTACAATAGCCAAGACATGGAAACAGCCTAAATGTCCATCAACAGATGACTGGATAAAGAAGATGTGGTATATTTATACAATGGAATACTATTCAGCCATAAAAATGACAACATAACACCATTTGCAGCAACATGGATGTCCCTGGAGAATGTCATTCTAAGTGAAGTAAGCCAGAAAGAGAAAGAAAAATACCATATGAGATCACTCATAGTGGAATCTAAAAAAGAAAAAAAAAGAACATAAATACAAAACAGAAACAGACTCATAGACACAGAATACAAACTTGTGGTCAAGTTGCCAAGGGGGAGTGGGGTGGGAAGGGACAGACTAGGAGTGTGAAATTTGTAGTTACTGACAGGCATATGTGGAATAGATAAGCAAGATTATACTGTATAGCACAGGGAAATATATACAAGATCTTATGGTAGCTCACAGCGAAAAAAAAGCGACAATGAATATACGTATGTTCATGTATAACTGAAAAATTGTGCTCTACACTGGAAATTGACCCAACATTGTAAAATGACTATAACTCAATAAAAAATGTTAAAAAACAATTTAAGTGCACTGAGAAATCATTGCATGTTTTTACCAAAGGAGATTCATGATTATTCTAATCACTATGTGGAAAGTGGTTTGCAGCAGGAGAAGGCCAGGAGAAGACAGGGAAAGATCTCATCTCAGCAAGGCAGATAAGAGATGTTGGCATACACTGAGGTAGTGCCTCTGGACATCAAGAGGTTTGTGAAGGTAGAATATATTTTGCAAGTAGAACCGGCAAGACTTCCCGATGGATTGGATGTGGAGAGGGATGAAAAAAGGGGAGAATGGCTCCCAAATATCTGGCTTGTAGTCACTGAAGCATCCTAGAGGGTACGTTAAGTAGGCAACTAGGTATGTGAGTCTGGAACTCAAAGAGTAAGAGGTACAAATTGTGAGTCACCAATATAGAGATGGCAGATCTAGACATGTCAACATATTTTTAAATGTCAAAATGTCAAACAGCAACAACAAAAGAAATAAAGTGGAAGCAAAACCAAGACATCCACTGCTTATACAATCATCTATTTATATTCTAAGAACTTGTACTCTACCTGAGGTGGGGCTTCATGACGGTTCCAATCATTTTTTTGACTGTCTGTGCTTCACATACCCAGAGACTCAGATCAACTGCAATGGTTTTCCCACTGAGACTGTGCAAGAGGACGTGCTCTTTAACAGGCTCCAGGATCTGCCACAAGTCATTCACTCCCATTTTGGTGATTATCTGTTATTATTTGAAACGCACTTTTCAAAAGATTGTTAAAAGACATAGAAGCTCAGAACAGAAATTCAAACAATGTATTTTGAGCTAATTTGGGGTGATTCATAAATATACTATTCTCTTAATTCTTTCATTAGTCAACTTCTCAGAAGAATTGAGAACACAGAAACATTAAAAAGGTGGTAATATACTTAGTGGCTTCAAAAACACTAATGCAACTAACAGATTAAAAGTCATTAGATTAGAGCATGCTAAATTTGTCCTTAAAATACACTCTTGTCACCAAATATAGGTTTCTCTGTAGAACTGAAAAAGTTATTTTTTAATTTAATGTAACTCAAATGTCAATGGTACCCTTGTCTCTCTTCATTCTTTCCTCTTCTTTTCTACGTCACCTTTAGTAGTGGCTAAGAATAAAATTTTCTGCATGGTTACATTAATATTGTGTCAATATTGCATGAAATTTGGAGGTGATAATTTTGGATAAATTTGGAAAGTGATAATTAGCTGTGTTCCAGCTAATAATAAGAGCTAACAAACCAGAGATGGGTAGAAAATCCAGGGATGTAGTAAAACAAATTTGCCTTGAGAATTCATTCCTTGATTTACATACCTAAAGAGAGAATAGTATTAATCCCCTATCATAATCAGGAAAAACAGAAAGGCAAAAGCAAGGAAGCATGCAAACACACAAACACAACACAAGCAAAAAAACCAAAGGTTAATGAAGGAAAAGTGGGGGGAGGCAGAAAATGAAGAGTTGAAGGAATATGTAATTATACTTTTAAAAAGAGCATTGGCTTTTTAAATTGCAAGGTCATACATGTTCATTGTGGAAAAATAAAAAATCTTTTAAAAAAATGTTAAATGTTAATGTTAAACTCTTTTCTATGTGCACGATATTTTAAAAACAAAATTGGCTTAAACCCTGCTATTGTACCTCTTTGGTATTTTCTATAGGCCAGTTTTTCCTTATTAAACATCTATATCTGGTTTTCTTTTCCTTTGTTATTATTTGACGAAAAATAGTACGTAGTATTTGCAATGAAGATTCAGTCTGACTATATAACAGATAATCATCCTCTAAACAATGACCTTAATTTATTCCAAAAACACAAGGTGGGATACAAAAACATATGAAGTCAAAAGGCTATTACCATAATGCAGAGCCATTCGAAATAAAATGTACTGTATTGTCCATTCCGTTAACAGAGTCCCTACTGAAAGCAAATGTTCTCAAATTGTATGTGGCTGCAAAGAAAATTAATGCTGGAACTGTGGCTGTCATTTTCTCTGAGCTTTTCTGAATCTTAATTTTAAATGTGGCCAATGTTACCATAATTACTATTTTGTGCACTCATTTTTATGAAGAGCTGCACAAATATTTGCTAGTGTGTCACTTTAGAAGGAAAAGATACACGGATTTAAATGTAGAGAAGAAAGCATTAGGTAGTTAATGGTGGCTCCAGTGCTCAGATTGTCTATTTCACACCAAGAAGGCCCACTGATTGAATGTGGGTGGCATTGTGGCAAAGATTCAGAGTCAAGGTTTTATCTCTTTGTTAATGTAAAAAGTTGTAGTTAATTCTGGAAAAAGAGTGGGGAACGCATATATTTTTCTAAGGCATTATTATAAAGGGAAACAAGCTTTTTAAAGTGTTAACCATCAGAACATGTAAAATTCAGAAACAGAAAGTTTGAGGGGGAAGTTCTTATTGATAATTGTGCTTTCCTTTATTTGTGACTCACGCTGGATACTGGCATGGATTGCTATTGAGGGAAATTAAACAATTCCTCTCTGGAGGAACATTATCATAGCTGATCTTATTTCATTTAAATCTGACCCTGACTCAAGCTGTCAACATTTTAAATGCAGGTATTTCCTGATTTAGCAATAGCTCTCCTAGGAATTTACTTTAATAAGATATGTTCTTAGGTGTATATAGATTTATATACAAGGATATTCATTGTAGCACTCTTTGTAACAGTAAGACACTGGGAAGAACCAAATACTCACAATAAAGGATACAACTTTAAGTAAATTATGGTATGTTCAAACAATGGAGAAGGTGATGCAGCAAATAAAAATGGTATAGATCTATATGTATTAATAAATAAAAAAAAGACTCCAGGTTTCAAAATGAAAACAGGTTGAAAATAGGTTACTTAGTAAGAATGACTGAAGTTGAGGGATGTGAAGAATTACTCTTCAAAGTATATTTCTTTACGTTTATTTTTAAAAATAACCATAGGCTTGTATTACTTTTCAAATTAAAAAAAAAAGCTTAAAAAATGTGGTTTTATTTGTAAAGGGTTAGGAAAAGAAACTAGAAATCTTCAGATGGTTCATTTCCTGCCTAAATACTAAGTTACAAAATATGTACATAGTTCACGGGTCAATTAAAAAGCAATGTTCTGCAACTTTAGGAGTACCTGAATTTCAAATACAGCTTCAGTATGGCTTTTTAGGTATGAGAGATCACATTTTCTGGTTTCCATCAGAATACCTTGGAACTAGTTGTGTGGTCTTAGGCAAGGTATGTCTTTTCTCTGGCCTTTCCAGCCCTACGTTCAATCCTTTCTACCATGTTTCTAATGCTTCATTACATAAACTGACTACACGTATATAACAATAGTAATGAATGAAGACTTTCATGTGGTGCAGCGTTATCATGACACATACAAACACATTTATGTATACGACTGTGATGTAAACTGCATTCCTTCTGAGAGAGGTAGAAAAAAATTGAGAAACTGACCAGGTAGACTCTTAAGTTTACAAAGTTTACGAACTGTAGTCCTTTAAATATTTCAAGCACATTAGGATCATTCTGTAAAGGATCATTCTGTACAGACTTCAGTGGAATATATTATTCACTGGGGCAGCCATGTGTGGAAAAAAAATAAGCCCAGAGCTGACTTTCTATTAGTATTTTAAGATTCCCACAGATTGGACCCCTTTAGCAAGATAAAAGAGGGCTTTTAACTAAACCCATGAGTAATATCTTTAATATGATCATTACACTTAAAACTTAATTACCCATGTTATTTTAATTTCTTTTGTCAGTTATGTCACAGAACAACTATTACCGGTAGTTGAACAGATATCATTAATGAGTACCTAGGACATCTATTTTGGCTTTTCCTTTATTATATGAGCAAAGACTACAAAGTTGTAACAATGCCTACTTAAACACAACTAGTATGAACAATGCAGGCAAAATGAAAAGTCCGTAAAAAAATTATCTGTTAGTTACCATAAAGTTAAATTTGAGTTACTGTTTCTGAGCTAAGGTGTTCTCCACTTTTCCCCAGTTACGTGACATTTTCTAGAAAGAAATGTCTCTTTCCTAGCCAGTTTTTCTGGTCACATTTTTTTCTTCCAGTTTTAAGGAGATATAACTAACATACAGCACTGTGCATGTTTCAGGTGTACAACATAATGATTTAACTTACATACATCATGAAACAGTTACTACGTAAGTATAGTGAATATCTATCATCTCATACAGATACAAATTAAAAGAAAAAGAAAAAAAACTTTTTCCATGTGATGATAACTTTTAAAATTTACTCTCTTGACAACTTTCACATATAATGTACAGTAGCGTTAATTTTATTAATCATCCCTAGTACTTACTTATTTTATAAATGGAAATTTGTAACTTTTGACCACCTTCATCCAATTTCTTTTTAAACAACTTTGGTACCTGAACCTCGAGGCCCGTGTATCTACAGAAATGGATTTGAAAAAGGTTAGACTCTCTCTCATGCTCCCCAGGCATACTTCTATAAAGCAGTAATGGTCTGCTATGTTTCGTTCATAACCATGAAAGAATTGCTACCATGAAATACGCTTTTTTCCCTCACTTTTTTCTTGGAATCATAGGAATCAAGGACACCTTTTTAGGAGCAAGCCTCTCTCTCTGACATGCCCTAACAAATCTGTTTGTTTTTTTTTTCTCTTGTAACTTACCATTAGTTAATTTCCATTAAGCCTTGAATAACTGGAAGGCTTTATATAGTCTTCATTTCTTTTAACTAAAAAATGATAGATTAGAACTATGCCAAGTAACAATATTTAAAAGACTGGGGTAGGCATAAGAATTGGAAAGTTAGCAGACAGACTTACAGGAAGAGTAATATTTTTAGAGTCAGTTAGAGGCAGACTACACTGGAAAGGACATCATTGCTGGGTCCCCTTTGAAGACTCTTATTATGATGGAACTCTTCTTCCCTCCCCCTCTCTAACATTTATCCCTTATCATCTGACAACTCCTCCGAGTTCTTGATAAGAATATCTAATCCCCTATTTTATCTTTATATGGATGAGTAATATGCATCTAATTCTTGATTCCATCACTTCTTAAAACTGTTCTAGCCCTAGTCATTCTCAAACATCCAGTTGCTTAGGCCAAAAACCTAGTAGTCATTTTTGACAGTTCTCTTGAATTTGCTCTCTAACAGCAACTTGATCAGCAAGTTTCCTGTCTCCAAAATACATCCTAAACCCCCATTTCTAATGATCCTCCCCTGGTGCTGCCTGTAGTCTCCTAACTGGTCTCCTTGCTTCCACTTTTTCCTTACCCTCCACCCCTACACAATCATTCTGCTCAGGGAAGCCAGAATGGTCTTGTTTAAAAATCTAAAACATATTAAAATCATCATCTCTTAGGTAATGGACAGTGAATTTCCTTAAAGGTGACATAACTTCTGCTTGTCACCAGTTAATTTACTTCATTTATGGTGCTATCTTATAGCCAGTTGTAAAATGCAGAAGATATTAAACTAAAATTACAGTGTTCTAAATGTTAACACATTCTTTTAAAATAGGATTATCTTCAGTAGATCTACAACCCAAGGTCTTTAAGTTCATTCATGTTCCTTTGAAAATCATTTGTAAAAGGAGAATATTAAAAGAATACTTCAGTAGTTCTAAAGGGTAAATTACGTGAAATATCTATTTTATGAAAAATAACACCATAACATGTTTTAAGAATGTAGTTAATCCAAAATGTCTATTTCCCTGAGACATCATTTTCTATTCCTTGTCATTTTGTTTTTTGCACCAGCCCTTCCTCTGCAGTGATATTAAGTAGCAATAGAAAGACGGTAAAGTTATTTAAAGTTCCAAAAAGGGACAGAATGCAACAACTCTTAAGATATTCAAGTACAACTACACTCAAAGACAGAACAGATGGTTCTTGCATGAGGTCATGATCAACCTGATAAGGTTACTTGAAAATAGCTCAGCATTAAGTAAAATTTAAAAATACTACACATAGCAAACTCACCCAAAACTATGGATAATTTTATCTTGCATTTTATTTTAATAGGGTGAAAACTGAAATAACTTCATAGCCTATTAGTGGCTTCAATTTATTTACTTTAGTGAAAGAGCACTGGACTTGGGATAGAAAAGCTAGAATTTCAGTCTTGGATATGCACGGACTAGCTGTATGACCTTGAGAAGACATTTAACTGATCTACGAAATGATACATATTAAACTAGATGAATTATAAGATTCTGATATCCTTTGAATCTCATCACCAATTTTGATAGCTTGGTATTAAAAAAAAATCACTATTTCAGATATTATTGCTTGGTAGAAAGACCGTGAATTTCTAGTTTAAAGAAAGAGTTTTAAGAATCCCCTTCAGGTTAAAAAAAACCAGATCCCTTTGATGTAACCATATGGTGCCCCATAAATCAATTTATGTTTCTAAAACTTCCTTAAAAGCGAGTAAGTTTTTATTGGTTAATTATAAAACTGAATGAGGTGAGAAAAGCACAGAACCTTGCTAATTCCACTAATGAATCAAATTTAAAGAACATAAAAAGAAGTCAGCGGTTTGATTTATGCAAAAATATACATTTTATTAAACTAGCAGTTTTCCAGTTTTATTTCAGTTTTAAGCAAAAACACTACAATTTTTTTAACAGTAAAGCAGGAAATATTTTAAATTTCCCAATTTCCATTCAGAATGACTCTGTATTTTCATATAAAGACTGGTAAATTGTACAGTTTATTTCAGCACAGGATTGTATTGTATAGGATTTACCACAGGATTCCACTAATTAATACCGTTTTTTTTTACTTCTTCAGCTTTATTTTTATATGAATTTCACTTAAACTTTAAATCATAATATAACCCAGGCTTAACTTACTTGTTACTAATAAATATGTATTAAATGCCTACTATGCACCAGAACTCTTCTTGGTGGTGCAGATACAGTAATTAAAGATTAAGCCCTGCATTTAAGGAACTTGGCAGAGTGTGATTAGAGATAAAGAGAATTATAACAACGGGACAAGTACAGGCACAGAAGTAGGCTAGAGAACTACAGGAGTATATAGATCTAAAGATACCTTATCTAGTCTAGGGCATCAAGGAAGGCTTCCTACAGGAAGTGACATCTAAGCGGAGACCTTCCAACTGTGTTGCCCATCTTTTACCAACAAGGACCCCTTAGGCCAGATGTTGTAGTGTTTTCATCTATTTTGACTATGACATATGTGTATCATGGCAAGGGCCAAAACAGGACCATATATTTGATTATCTTTAGAAATAAAAGTGTCTTATGGAAGGAATTTCATTACAGGAGACCGGAAGTTTGATATCAGTTTCTTCGGGGGTGTTTTGGGGTAACGGTAAACACCACTTTTTTTCCATCTAAAAAGCAAGATTTTGGAGTAGAGAAAGTAGATTATTTAGTTGGTTCAGCGTATCACGAGGAGAGGTGTGTAAAGACAGAAGCGGTAGGTTAAGCCGGGTTGACAGGAGCGCTAAAAGCTAATCCAAGGAATTTAAATTTCGTTGGTTCCCATATTTATTGTGGGGTTCTACAACATAGGTTCGCACGGGGGAAAAAAGATTGTAAATAAACAACCACAATGCCTTAAGGTAATCGCTATAATGGAAGTATTTTCAAAACACAAAGTTCACACTGAAAAAGAGGAACACTCAAGTGTGCCGAGGGGGATCCGGGAAGGCTGACCCAAGAAGGCCTTGGACGAGGCGAGGGAATTTGCCCCACAGCGCGCGGGGGGAAGGACATTGGGGACCCCGTGGCCTTGGCACCGCCCCGGAGTGGGGGGCGGCGACACTCCAGGCGCGTAAAGTATTGCCGGATCGCGGCCAGAGGCTCTGGCCGCCGTCCTGCTGGGCTCAAAGGGAGCCGCTGACCGTGTTTTTGGAGGCGGGCGAACGCGACAGGGACGCCAAGGCAGAGCGTGCCCCCAACCCAGCCTGCAAAGGAGCCAGCGGAAGGGCCCGGGCGGAGTCGCCTCTCCACCACTCTGGGGACTTACCGGGACAACCCCTTCTCCTTGGCTTTGAAAGACGCCCTTCCGTCATTTACCAGTTTGGCCTGAATCCTAACTATCGCTGCCTCCAAGCTTCTAGATTTTCTCTTCGCAAAAACAAAAACAAAAACGAAAGAAAAAGAAACAAAAGAAAGAGAAAAGGAAAAACTTGCTCTTTCCATTCCCGATTGAAGACTAGCCTTTGGGGCTTAGCATCTTGACCCGGAAAGCTCCCTGCAAACACTTCGAATTCAGCGCGTTCTCCCACACGGCCCCGCCTCTTCCGGGAAGTGACTGTCCCCCTTCCCGCGACCGAGGCCGCACACTGCTTTCCCGGCTCCTAGCCGGTCTGTTGTACGCATGCGTGAAGCTGTCGTATGGGGCTCCGAGCTTTTTCCCTTTCACTTAGGCAAATCACCCGCCTCCCACCTCCGCGTCCTGCAGTCGCCAAGCACGGAGCTCTTGCCCGCTTCCCCCATCCGCCCAGGGGCACTTCCGGCCCCTCCTCTCAGACGCCAGTGGCGCGAAAACTCCAAACGGCGCACGCGCGG